ATATATATATATATATTGAAGGCACATAAGGAGACCGGTACACATATAGGGACAAACTCAATCGAAAATGGGATCAAATGTATTGGTCCCATCACATCAAATGGGTCTAGATTAGAAGAAGACGTTCACCTTAGAAAACGAAAAAGATTGGAAAAAAGCCCACACGATAGGTATTGGATTCGACACGGTTATACATAAAGCCCATACAAAATCACCTATATGGCCCAATGAAGTTAATCCCAATCCGGCTTTGGATTCGGCTAGTTCAAATTACAAGACAAATAGTTTTTTTTTTTTCGATAAGTTCTTTCTAAATATAATTAAATCTAATTTAAAAATAATTCATACCCAAAAAATTGAGAGTCCCAAATTTATTATTAAATAGCTCTAGATGGACTAAGAAATTGACTACTTGAGAATTCATCACTAAGTTATGGTGTTCAGTTATTAAAAGATGATTTTGGTTTTTGTTTAAGAAAAAATTTAAATTCGATTTAATGCGAGTATGGTCTGTCACCAAAAAAAAACAAAAAAAAGCCCTCAAATCTGAGTGCATTTAAGATCAAAGTCAATCATTAAAAGCTATGAAATTTGACTTTTCTTCCCATCAAATTGGCCAAATTTGAAAGAGAGAAAGTTGCGGGGTAAAAAGAGTCAAAAATCTTGCAATTTAAAAAGCCAGACTTCACTCACCAAAAAAAAACAAACAGAAAAAAAATTTCAGTTACTCCCCTTTTAGTTTATCATATCTTCAAAGATATTTTTCTGTTATTCAAAACATCATTAAAACTGCTTCTAGTTTATATTTAAACATTATTACACCCCTTGACATTAAAGAAGCATTTCTAACCAAAAAAACAAAAAATCTAAATTATCAAAATTGCCCCTATAAAATCCCAAATAATTTTTCCACACAAAATTCAATTAAAATTGGATCTAATTAAAATTTATTTTTTATATATTAAAATTTGAGCTGACTAAAATTTATTTTTCTACATATTAAAATTTGAACCAATTAAAATTCGATTCGAGCAGATTAATTTTTTAAGTATTAAAATTATAGCCTATTAATTTTTTTTACGCATTAAAATTCGAGCCGATTTGAGCTCAACTTGAGCTTTAGCGCCAATTAAAATTCAATTCAAGTAGATTAAAATTTATATTTTTTTACTTATTAAAATTCTTACCAATTAAAATTCGATTCAAATTGATTAAAAAAATTTTGACGTATTAAAATTTGAATCGATTAAATATTTTTTTACGAATCAAAATTTATACCAATTAAAATTCAATGCGAATTGATTAAAATTTTAATCTATCAGAATTTTAATCGATGATGTCTCATTGAAGATATGTCCGTGGATGAAATTTTTCTTAAAATATATAATAGACAATTTAGTATAATTGTATTCTATGATAAATTAAAAAGAGAGTGACTGATGGAAATTTTTCCCAAGGCTAATGGAAATTTCGAAAAACAACCAAGGGCAAAATTGGGATCTGTGGATAACAAAAAATAACGCCTCTATTGGGTTTTCAGCCATCTCCTGGCTTTCAACGTTATGGACTTTTCTTACTCCACAAAGAAAGTTCAACTGACTTTTGCCCGTGCAAGACACTTCCATGTGAACAAACCCAAATTCCAAAACACACACACACACACATATATATGTATACATATAACAATTGTCTTCATTTTCAAATTCAGCAGTCTCAAATTGCTGATATGAAAGCCCGTTGCATATAAGAGGAGGTTCTCTCACACAATCCATGGCTCTCTAATTTCATCCAATTCCTTTTGGATCGCCACAGAAAAGGTAAATTTACAGTTAATGTTTGTTCAATTGTAAGTAGCGAATACTATGACTATCCTTAAGATGGCATTGTTTAAAGGTAAGACTACTTACTGCTCATGCATGCATGATATTCTTCTTGTAACCGACCTCAAAGGTATTGGAATAAGGCTTTGTTGAGTTGAATTGTAAGACCTTCATTAATAAGGAAAGAGAGATTGAAGCTTGAACTCGGGTTGAAAACCTAGTAAAGATAAAAGACTGCACTTACCAACAAATTGGGCTAAGACTTTCTCTTCATATTAGGCCTAAAGTATTTAGAATAACATGTTTGGCATGTTTCTAATGTCTAAACTAGGTTCTTGTTAAAAAAGATAAATTTTATGATGTTCACTTATAGGAACAATGCATCTTTCTTTGTTAGCGGAGGAGAGAGCTATGAGTATGTTCCGTCATTTCCACTAGAATAGATAAATTAATCAGGCTTTTAACCCTCAACCAAAAGACGTGGTTTGCTTTCTCTTGAAACGAAAAGGAAGAACCACTAGGAAGCGATTTTTTTTCTAGAAAACTTCAAATAATTTCATGTTTCTTGCTGCTTGTTTTCTTTCTTTTGGGGGAATTTCACATTGACTTTTGTTAAACATTCTTGCACTACAACATATATTTGCATTCTCTAAATATGCTGTATCAGCCTGAGTTTCTAAGTAAATTTCATTGATTTTAGGGAAAAAGGCATGATACTGTACCACTCCTGTGGTCGGAATCGTAGACTGGAAGTGTTTAAGGCACTTCAACTAGCTCTGCTTTTAGCAATCAGCATTTGGTTGTTATTCCATATCAGATATCTGCGTGAGAAGCCTATGAGTTGTGGTGGGAATATGCTAATATTGCTCATGGGACGCAAAGGAAATGTTGGCCTCCAAGTTGGGAATATATACTCTGATGGGGGTGGGATAAGAGAAGTTGATCAATGGAGAGAAGCGCGCTTGGTCGAGGGTGACGTAGAAGAAGAAGAGTCAGCACACAATGGGAGTGAATATTCTTGGGGTGTTAACAACGTAAGAAATGTCGAAAAAGGGCATGAAATGGAGCAAGAAAGAGCATCGAAGAATGAAGGAGCAGAACATGAATCCGACAGGGGAAGTGTGGCTTGCTGTTTTCATGATGAAACCGGAGTTCCACCTGACTTCAATTAGCTGGAACGTTGCAACACCATGAGAGCTCGTTGGATTAACAATGGATCCTGACTATTAAATGAAATTGTTAAAGATCACTAATTTAGTTAATTAGATCGTCAGTTGTTGTCTCCCTATTTCCCTCGTACAATATTTCTCAAGACTAATGCTACATAGATTTATTGACCTAATTTATTGTTGGATTAACTAGAAAATTCAATGCTAAATCAGACCCGGTATTGATCCAATAACTGTAATGAATTAAATCAAAAAATTAAGTCAAGCAGGGTTGCAAGCAAATAGAGGTGCACGTGCATCACTATTGTTGAGATGGGTAATGAACAGCCCCAATCAAGTCCATTCAATGAGCACCCAAGCTCCCTAGAAAAGGTTGGTCCAAAAGAGAAAAAAATCTCTGTAAGGAACAAAAACCCAAGATTGACACCCCCATTTTCTAATTCAACCCAATGAAACACCACACCGACCCATGCGGCTAAGGTCATCTATGCGCCCTTGCTGCATCCCCCATTGGCAATTTGGCATGCACCAGCGCACTTGGGTTGGTGTGTTCATGGACATGTCTACCGTTAGATAAGATGGCTAGGGCGTTGCAAGAAACAGAGCACAATATTTTACACACAGCAGAAGCACAGCAAACACTGTCATCGGTCCTGGCCAGTTTGTCAAGGTTTCATACCAAAAATATGAACAAAATAGAAAAGGTCAGTCTTTAAGAGTTGCGCCTTTTCTAGTCTTGTCTAGTGTTGTTGATCCTTAAACATAAACTTAGACGAACGACCAATTGATAAACATAAAGCAAATGCAATGGGGATTCTCTTCTTCGTTCAACACTTTCCACGCTACAGCCCTTTCATAAGAAACTGGCCTGCCCATGCTCGATAAGCATATGCCACCTTGAAGACAAGCAAAACCCTGCCAACAAAAAACCACCAGCCTGATTAGATAGTAGTCAATATTGCCTACTCTGTGCTTGGTGGTGTTAAGAAAGTGAATCTCATGCTAATCCAATTAGTCTCCCAAAGAAGAAATAGATACATATTCACCCAGGAAAAATAAAAATAAAACAATAACAATGAGAATCATGGAAACAAAAATCCAAATGTGCATTGACATGTAATGAACTTGAATCATTTTGATTACGCTTGAAATTACGCAATTTCATAAATGCCATTAACATTCTATTTATAATTGTAATTCCCATTGCAATGACTCATAATGGATGTTTTTTTTTCCTCCCAGAGTCACTCTCTTCCCCTAAACATGACTGTATGCATAGGAGTACGTGTATGCCCCTGTACATGTGTCTTAACCCTCTGTGTATACCATTTGCGGAAAATAGTCATCAAATGCGCAAGTACTTTTTTACTTTAGATTTAAGCAAAATGCAAAACACATATTAACAGATACTACTTCTTAACTTATTCAGAGTGCTTTTTACAAGTATTAACTTTGCCTTAACTAATTTATTTTGATTGTTCCGTAAGGAAATGGCTAACCTGCTGCATTATCAATGGGAACTCAGAGCAGAGATTTTTNAGGTGAGATCTATCAGATAGTTTTCTTCAGCACCAATGCTGGGCTCATTAATGATCTAATGGTCATAATTATTATGTCTTCAAATTTTCTATATAACAAAGTATTCCTTCCGTTGTTAAATATTTGTCGTTTTACAAATTTTTTTTTGTTCCATAATATCTGTCGTTTTTTGAAACCAAAGCATAATTAATATTTTTTCTTCCAAATTTACTCTTAATTTTTCAATGCATTAGATTAGGTGGAGACTAAGTGTCTTTCATATTCCTTTCCTTCTCAATACGTATTGAATAAGGGTATTTCAGTCTTGTGTAATTATTTTTTACTCATATTAGAGCTATTTAATAGTTTCTTTAATCCCTGTGCAAAAACCTTAAACGACAAATATTTAGGAACGGATAAAATACAATATAATTCAAATCTTAAAAGATAAATAAAATAATTTTTGTTTTTCGCGGTTGAGATCTATTTATATTTTACTTTAAAATTAATCCAACGACTAATATTAAAATCCTAAATTTAATAGGAAAAATAAATTCCTAAGAGTGTATTTAGAGTGACTTTTTAAAAATGTTTTTAAAACTTATAATTTCTTATAAGTACTTTTAAAAAAAATAGTGTTTAGAACTGCCCTACAACAATCACTACCAACCTCACCCGAACCGCCCCACCCCAACCACTACCAACCCCACCCTAACTGCTGCCACCATCACCACCACACCCATCGTCCCACCATCGCTGCTAACCATTATCTCTCATCACCATCACACCTATCACTACCTCCCGTCATCGCCCACCACTACCAGCATCATCGTCTACCATCGCACCTGCTACTGTTGTCGCCCCACCACCACCACTGCCAACAACCATCACCGTCTCCCGCCACTTCCGACACCCACCACCACCACTGTCGTCACCCCATGACTTCCACTATCATTATCGTCACCCAAAACTCACCACCACCATCACTGTTGCCACCCAAGACTACCACCATTACCACGGTTGTCGTCACCTACTACAACCATCACCGTCTCTCACATCTGCCACTGCTACCTCTCACCCTCACTATAACCGATGATTAAATTCTTTTCTCTCTTCTTTATGTTTGTAATTTGATTTTGAATGTAAATATAAATATATTTATTATTGATAATTTTTTTTATTACTCTGTCCCTTCAGGCACATGTAATATATAGTATCTCTAAATTATAACTTTAGTATTGCTCTTTGTTCAATGTAATTAACAAATCACTAATGTTATTAGGATATAATTTAAAGACATAATATATTGTGACCATTGAATTGATAGTAACTTTTAATACAGGGATCCACTGATAACCTAATTAGTAATGCTATATTGACCGAATAAAATGACTAAATAAAGAGTCCAAATGAGGTGACATGGAAGGTTGATTAGGCAAACTTAGTATTTCACTAAACCTATAAATTTTCTCCCAAAATTCAAGCCCCAAATTAAGAAGATATATGGCAAAATCTGCGAGAAAAACAAAAGGTTGATTTTTCTTTTTTATTGCAATGATTAGGGATATTAATCGAGCTGAGCTTCGCGAGCTTGAGCCCGAGCCTGTCGAGTTGATTCTTTTAAAAATGCCTAAAAATTTATTCAAATTCAGCTTGTTTAGAACCTGAGCCTAGATTGAACCCAAGTTGAGTCTTAGTAGCTCGACTATTTTATATATAAATGAGCTGAACTTTGCGAGTTTGGGTCGAGCCTTTTAGGTTTGTTTTTCTAAACGATCCTAAAAAATTATTCAAAAAAAAATGAGTCCAAAACATTATTCAAGTTCAATTTATTTAAAATATGAGCTTGAATTCAAGCTGAATCCTATCCAAATCGAACTCGATTAAATCATCTTGATTAACAACCATATCAAGTTGGAGGGAGAAGATTTGATCCATGCACGTTGCGCACTCAAATGGGGAGGCTTTGTCACGCGCGCGCGCGCACACACACATACATATATATATATATATATATATTGAAGGCACATAAGGAGACCGGTACATATAGGGACAAACTCAATCGAAAATGGGATCAAATGTATTGGTCCCATCACATCAAATGGGTCTAGATTAGAAGAAGACGTTCACCTTAGAAAACGAAAAAGATTGGAAAAAAGCCCACACGATAGGTATTGGATTCGACACGGTTATACATAAAGCCCATACAAAATCACCTATATGGCCCAATGAAGTTAATCCCAATCCGGCTTTGGATTCGGCTAGTTCAAATTACAAGACAAATAGTTTTTTTTTTCGATAAGTTCTTTCTAAATATAATTAAATCTAATTTAAAAATAATTCATACCCAAAAAATTGAGAGTCCCAAATTTATTATTAAATAGCTCTAGATGGACTAAGAAATTGACTACTTGAGAATTCATCACTAAGTTATGGTGTTCAGTTATTAAAAGATGATTTTGGTTTTTGTTTAAGAAAAAATTTAAATTCGATTTAACGCGAGTATGGTCTGTCACCAAAAAAAAACAAAAAAAAGCCCTCAAATCTGAGTGCATTTAAGATCAAAATCAATCATTAAAAGCTATGAAACTTGACTTTTCTTCCCATCAAATTGGCCAAATTTGAAAGAGAGAAAGTTGCGGGGTAAAAAGAGTCAAAAATCTTGCAATTTAAAAAGCCAGACTTCACTCACCAAAAAAAAAAAAAAAGAAAAAAAATTTCAGTTACTCCCCTTTTAGTTTATCATATCTTCAAAGATATTTTTCTGTTATTCAAAACATCATTAAAACTGCTTCTAGTTTATATTTAAACATTATTACACCCCTTGACATTAAAGAAGCATTTCTAACCAAAAAAACAAAAAATCTAAATTATCAAAATTGCCCCTATAAAATCCCAAATAATTTTTCCACACAAAATTCAATTAAAATTGGATCTAATTAAAATTTATTTTTTATATATTAAAATTTGAGCTGACTAAAATTTATTTTTCTACATATTAAAATTTGAACCAATTAAAATTCGATTCGAGCAGATTAATTTTTTAAGTATTAAAATTATAGCCTATTAATTTTTTTTACGCATTAAAATTCGAGCCGATTTGAGCTCAACTTGAGCTTTAGCGCCAATTAAAATTCAATTCAAGTAGATTAAAATTTATATTTTTTTACTTATTAAAATTCTTACCAATTAAAATTCGATTCAAATTGATTAAAAAAATTTTGACGTATTAAAATTTGAATCGATTAAATATTTTTTTACGAATCAAAATTTATACCAATTAAAATTCAATGCGAATTGATTAAAATTTTAATCTATCAGAATTTTAATCGATGATGTCTCATTGAAGATATGTCCGTGGATGAAATTTTTCTTAAAATATATAATAGACAATTTAGTATAATTGTATTCTATGATAAATTAAAAAGAGAGTGACTGATGGAAATTTTTCCCAAGGCTAATGGAAATTTCGAAAAACAACCAAGGGCAAAATTGGGATCTGTGGATAACAAAAAATAACGCCTCTATTGGGTTTTCAGCCATCTCCTGGCTTTCAACGTTATGGACTTTTCTTACTCCACAAAGAAAGTTCAACTGACTTTTGCCCGTGCAAGACACTTCCATGTGAACAAACCCAAATTCCAAAACACACACACACACACATATATATGTATACATATAACAATTGTCTTCATTTTCAAATTCAGCAGTCTCAAATTGCTGATATGAAAGCCCGTTGCATATAAGAGGAGGTTCTCTCACACAATCCATGGCTCTCTAATTTCATCCAATTCCTTTTGGATCGCCACAGAAAAGGTAAATTTACAGTTAATGTTTGTTCAATTGTAAGTAGCGAATACTATGACTATCCTTAAGATGGCATTGTTTAAAGGTAAGACTACTTACTGCTCATGCATGCATGATATTCTTCTTGTAACCGACCTCAAAGGTATTGGAATAAGGCTTTGTTGAGTTGAATTGTAAGACCTTCATTAATAAGGAAAGAGAGATTGAAGCTTGAACTCGGGTTGAAAACCTAGTAAAGATAAAAGACTGCACTTACCAACAAATTGGGCTAAGACTTTCTCTTCATATTAGGCCTAAAGTATTTAGAATAACATGTTTGGCATGTTTCTAATGTCTAAACTAGGTTCTTGTTAAAAAAGATAAATTTTATGATGTTCACTTATAGGAACAATGCATCTTTCTTTGTTAGCGGAGGAGAGAGCTATGAGTATGTTCCGTCATTTCCACTAGAATAGATAAATTAATCAGGCTTTTAACCCTCAACCAAAAGACGTGGTTTGCTTTCTCTTGAAACGAAAAGGAAGAACCACTAGGAAGCGATTTTTTTTCTAGAAAACTTCAAATAATTTCATGTTTCTTGCTGCTTGTTTTCTTTCTTTTGGGGGAATTTCACATTGACTTTTGTTAAACATTCTTGCACTACAACATATATTTGCATTCTCTAAATATGCTGTATCAGCCTGAGTTTCTAAGTAAATTTCATTGATTTTAGGGAAAAAGGCATGATACTGTACCACTCCTGTGGTCGGAATCGTAGACTGGAAGTGTTTAAGGCACTTCAACTAGCTCTGCTTTTAGCAATCAGCATTTGGTTGTTATTCCATATCAGATATCTGCGTGAGAAGCCTATGAGTTGTGGTGGGAATATGCTAATATTGCTCATGGGACGCAAAGGAAATGTTGGCCTCCAAGTTGGGAATATATACTCTGATGGGGGTGGGATAAGAGAAGTTGATCAATGGAGAGAAGCGCGCTTGGTCGAGGGTGACGTAGAAGAAGAAGAGTCAGCACACAATGGGAGTGAATATTCTTGGGGTGTTAACAACGTAAGAAATGTCGAAAAAGGGCATGAAATGGAGCAAGAAAGAGCATCGAAGAATGAAGGAGCAGAACATGAATCCGACAGGGGAAGTGTGGCTTGCTGTTTTCATGATGAAACCGGAGTTCCACCTGACTTCAATTAGCTGGAACGTTGCAACACCATGAGAGCTCGTTGGATTAACAATGGATCCTGACTATTAAATGAAATTGTTAAAGATCACTAATTTAGTTAATTAGATCGTCAGTTGTTGTCTCCCTATTTCCCTCGTACAATATTTCTCAAGACTAATGCTACATAGATTTATTGACCTAATTTATTGTTGGATTAACTAGAAAATTCAATGCTAAATCAGACCCGGTATTGATCCAATAACTGTAATGAATTAAATCAAAAAATTAAGTCAAGCAGGGTTGCAAGCAAATAGAGGTGCACGTGCATCACTATTGTTGAGATGGGTAATGAACAGCCCCAATCAAGTCCATTCAATGAGCACCCAAGCTCCCTAGAAAAGGTTGGTCCAAAAGAGAAAAAAATCTCTGTAAGGAACAAAAACCCAAGATTGACACCCCCATTTTCTAATTCAACCCAATGAAACACCACACCGACCCATGCGGCTAAGGTCATCTATGCGCCCTTGCTGCATCCCCCATTGGCAATTTGGCATGCACCAGCGCACTTGGGTTGGTGTGTTCATGGACATGTCTACCGTTAGATAAGATGGCTAGGGCGTTGCAAGAAACAGAGCACAATATTTTACACACAGCAGAAGCACAGCAAACACTGTCATCGGTCCTGGCCAGTTTGTCAAGGTTTCATACCAAAAATATGAACAAAATAGAAAAGGTCAGTCTTTAAGAGTTGCGCCTTTTCTAGTCTTGTCTAGTGTTGTTGATCCTTAAACATAAACTTAGACGAACGACCAATTGATAAACATAAAGCAAATGCAATGGGGATTCTCTTCTTCGTTCAACACTTTCCACGCTACAGCCCTTTCATAAGAAACTGGCCTGCCCATGCTCGATAAGCATATGCCACCTTGAAGACAAGCAAAACCCTGCCAACAAAAAACCACCAGCCTGATTAGATAGTAGTCAATATTGCCTACTCTGTGCTTGGTGGTGTTAAGAAAGTGAATCTCATGCTAATCCAATTAGTCTCCCAAAGAAGAAATAGATACATATTCACCCAGGAAAAATAAAAATAAAACAATAACAATGAGAATCATGGAAACAAAAATCCAAATGTGCATTGACATGTAATGAACTTGAATCATTTTGATTACGCTTGAAATTACGCAATTTCATAAATGCCATTAACATTCTATTTATAATTGTAATTCCCATTGCAATGACTCATAATGGATGTTTTTTTTTCCTCCCAGAGTCACTCTCTTCCCCTAAACATGACTGTATGCATAGGAGTACGTGTATGCCCCTGTACATGTGTCTTAACCCTCTGTGTATACCATTTTCGGAAAATAGTCATCAAATGCGCAAGTACTTTTTTACTTTAGATTTAAGCAAAATGCAAAACACATATTAACAGATACTACTTCTTAACTTATTCAGAGTGCTTTTTACAAGTATTAACTTTGCCTTAACTAATTTATTTTGATTGTTCCGTAAGGAAATGGCTAACCTGCTGCATTATCAATGGGAACTCAGAGCAGAGATTTTTTCTTCCATGGTCATCAAAGATCTTTTCCAAAGTTATATCTTGAAGTGCAACCAATGTTGTCTCAAGCATATCAAGACCAGCCTGGTTTGCAAAAGTGAATACTGGCAAGGCCTGCATTAATTTGAACTCAAGTTAACAGAAATGGTAGTGTGCTATTATAAGAATAAAGATCTCTGGAAGTTTAGCTTAAAATGGTCATGTGGTCATAAAGCATTTAGCAGCCCCCCTTTTGAATTTTAGTGGCCTATGAGTTAGGAAGCATGGACTGATACATGGTTTCACCTTTGAAACAAACAAGATTTCTAATCGACCATGGCAAGCATAAGCATGGGACAGAATACAAAGGAATATGAACTGTTTTGCATTATATATTTATGTTACTGGTAAACTGCTTCTCTTCATGAAAATGTTTTCACATACAGAAGAATGTCTTCTCACATACAAAAGGAAAAGAAATTTTGTTTTAAGCATGACCAGGGAAAACCAACTGCAATGATAAGAAAAGAGAAAAACTGAAAAAAACCAATGCATGTTCAAGTCAAACAAGTCATTACGTGTGTTATATCTGAAGATGGACTTTTGCGAATCATGGGTTTTCTGATCTCAGAGACAAAATGCTGAACTCAACAAAAAAGTGTCTGGCTCCCACTATGGGTTCTTTTCTACCCCCCAACCAACTGGAATGATAAGAAAAGAGAAAAACTGAAAAAACCAATGAATGTTCAAGTCAAACAAGTCATTACACAGTGTTATATCTGAAGATGGACATTTTTCTGATCTCAGAAACAAAATGCTGAACTCGATAAAAAAGTGTCTGGCTCCCACTATGGGTTCTTTTCTACCCCCCAACCAACTGGAATGATAAGAAAAGAGAAAAACTGAAAAAACCAATGAATGTTCAAGTCAAACAAGTCATTACACAGTGTTATATCTGAAGATGGACATTTTTCTGATCTCAGAAACAAAATGCTGAACTCGATAAAAAAGTGTCTGGCTCCCACTATGGGTTCTTTTCTACCCCCCAACCAACTGGAATGATAAGAAAAGAGAAAAACTGAAAAAACCAATGAATGTTCAAGTCAAACAAGTCATTACACAGTGTTATATCTGAAGATGGACATTTTTCTGATCTCAGAAACAAAATGCTGAACTCGATAAAAAAGTGTCTGGCTCCCACTATGGGTTCTTTTCTACCCCCCAACCAACTGGAATGATAAGAAAAGAGAAAAACTGAAAAAACCAATGAATGTTCAAGTCAAACAAGTCATTACACAGTGTTATATCTGAAGATGGACATTTTTCTGATCTCAGAAACAAAATGCTGAACTCGATAANATTATAAAAAGCTTTGAGGTTCAGTTTGACAAAACAGAATTTTCATTAAGAAATTATAAAAAGCTCAAAAAATGAATTGAATTTATCCCCAAAGGATGGTTTACTGACTACTACATACATGCTTAGTTATTAAGCATTGGGCTCCAGATGTAAATGCCATGGGCTATCAAGGGAAGGAAAAAATAACAAGATATAATAAATGCACTAGGATTTTCTATCCTACACGTAACTCTTAACTTTGTAAGACCAATCCTGACTTCCACAATTGACAGTTTCATTGTTCTACAATAGGAAAACAATTCAAATTTCTATGTATATGTATATTTGCAAGGCATGTGTGCAACAATGCATCATAGCTTGCACACCCATGCATGTGTGTGTGAGAGACAAAGAGGGGTAAGAGCTTAAAGTGCACACCTTCAAAGAGCAGCACATAATAGCATCTGAGTGATGCCATAGAGTTTTAAGGATGGAATCACTTCCTTCACCGCTGGATTTGAGTAGTTCGACCCCCAGATAGCACCTACAAAAGAAAAAGACAGCACAAAGCACAAAGCTATTTCAAAAGGGGTCCATTAACTACTAGAGATCATTCCCCACTAGTATAATAAATCAGTCTTGACACAAAGATTCCGCAAGAGGAACATAAAGTGTAGTTAGTATATCCTCCATAAGCATTCAGATGTGTAAATACAAAAAACCTTCCATGTTCTATACTGGGTTGAAATTTTTTTTAAAAAATAATTGCTTTCTTTTTTAATCTGAACCTTACAATACACCTACGGAACATTTCACATATTTTATGTCCTGAGTTATTCATTGTATTTTTCATGAAAATAATCCCATAATACATGCCTGGTATAACGTACCATCTTATCTTTTTCCCATCTATAACCACATCTGATGGAAAGACTTTCTAAAAGGAAATGTGGATTTTTCTGATATCCTAGATGGGAAACAGCAAAATTTGAAAAAGGAACAAGATGTTCATCTTACCAATTTCGAGCAAGAAATTTACTATTTATGAGAGGATAAAACAACCTAAAATTAGAAATTTCAATGATTATTCCCTTGTGTACCCAAAAAAAGAAAAAAATACGAAGGCAAAGAGTTGCATATAGATGACCAAATTTTACACAGGAGAGAATCTCAGAGATTGTCAACAGCATCTAAATCTTTGTTTGCCAAATTATGCCATGGTTTCCACAAAACACCCTAATGCACAAGCATTGGCCCGAAATAGATCATATTAGTCATGGAGATATCTATGGTCAAAAACTCAAATGATGCACCTGTAACTGTGGCAGATCCACCGAGCAAGTGTATGTGCTTCAGGAGTGCCTAGGGGAGGTCGAAGACCCCCATGGGCACTTAGATGAGATGGAGAGAGTGCTAATGCCACCCTCTGAACAGCTGATATAATGCTGCGGACGTATTGTCGGGCCATTGAAGCAACACTGTCTTGCATGTGGATCTCAAAAGCATATTCAAATGCTATTGTCATCACAGATCTTGTACTGCCGCTCATAACATTATGATCATTAGAAGTCTTGTTTCCTGCAGACCCAATCTCAAGAGCCGAAGCAAGATCTAGGGTGCGATTTGGACTGGAAGCTTCCTGCATAATATTGCAAATCATCAAATTAATAGAAGCCAAAGTAATACGCTGAGCCTGTGATATAATGCTATCCCATGTCGGAAAATTAAGAGGACCCAAGGCTGGTTTAAATACTTGAGAGGCCACTCCATTCATTGCCAATTGGTTTTGGGATGGATCCTCTTATAGGATACAACAATTCACAGCATAATATGAATACTAACCTTTCCAGAATCAAGAGGAATAATGCGAAAACCGGAAGGCAGAAGAGGTGCATCATCGGCGAAAGAGGCATCGATGGGCGCAAATATTAGTTCTGCACAAGTACCAATGGCATTTTCATCCATTCCACTGCATAGCTGTGAAAATAAATAACAGGAGCATTCAGGAAAAATGTTAACAGCATAACAATGAGAAATATCAGAAAAGCTTGAACTTCCCAAATAGGTTTACTAGAAGTGAGAGACAAAAATTGAAAAAAATAAGTCCGGATTTTCCTGAGAAAAAAAAAAAAAAAATTATCTCCCTGCCCATGACTAAATCAGAAAATAATAACATGATGATGGTCTAACATCCAGTTTTTGTCCCAATCTCAACCACAGCCACGCAGCACTAAACAAGATAAAACCTAACTTCTTGACTCCAAATATTGTTGAGACATAACCAAGCTACACCAAATGATCAGGGGGTTAACAAGAAACTTGAACGTATAGTCATTTAAGATTCAAGGATTTAATCACGGATAAGCATTTTAAAGATTAGAACCATCCTCTGCAACTGTTATTCTGATAGGAATATGGTCAAACACAAATTGGAAGCCATGTTATACTGCCTATATACTTTATTTCTCTATCTCAGGTGTTCAATAACAACAATAATATGAAGGAAGAGTGCTTTCCAACCAAGCACCTAGTGGATAACTGCAAGCGTATCATTGGAACCAGTTGCATAAAAAGTATTGCATACATTTGAGAGAGGGTAAACACCATGCAGACCATTTAAACTCCACCAGCAACGCACTTAACTATCTTGAAAGCATGGTGAGCATAAGTTTTGTAAGGTAACCCAGGTGGTTGAAAGTAACCCCCATAAAAAAATAATATGATATACAACCTGTAGATCTAGTAAGCATACACCTAGTGTGTAAGTTTTATGAGTTCATGACATGCCCATTTAAGCAGAATCCAGTGCATAACAGATTGGTTTGGGCTGATAGGCATCTACATGTACACATTAAAAGAGTACATTCTCAAATTCAAAAAAAAAGGCTAAGACTGACAAAAACCGATAAAAATCTCATTTAGCACAAAGTCCTCCAAGCTCATATATCCAAACTCACCCATAGCGGCCTCTAGATCAGGCCTAGCCCAGGGTTTCAAATAGGTTCTCTGTATTATTATTCACATGGCAATACACAAGGAAAGATGTGAAGTAACAAAACTTACTTGCAATAGAAACATGTCTCTGGGCATCATTGTGTCTTCAGTGCAATGGCCAACACCTTCCAACTTAATAACCTCCAGCAACTAATAGCCAACAAAAATACATCTATAATAAAGAACCATATTTTGAAAAGTAGAACTCAATTTACAAAAAAAAAGTCACAAAAATAATGAACCAATGATAAATAGGAAAATGAGTTCAAATTACTTGCCTCTTCGTGCTCAATGCTGTGGGCCAGTGGAAGTATAANTGATGATGGTCTAACATCCAGTTTTTGTCCCAATCTCAACCACAGCCACGCAGCACTAAACAAGATAAAACCTAACTTCTTGACTCCAAATATTGTTGAGACATAACCAAGCTACACCAAATGATCAGGGGGTTAACAAGAAACTTGAACGTATAGTCATTTAAGATTCAAGGATTTAATCACGGATAAGCATTTTAAAGATTAGAACCATCCTCTGCAACTGTTATTCTGATAGGAATATGGTCAAACACAAATTGGAAGCCATGTTATACTGCCTATATACTTTATTTCTCTATCTCAGGTGTTCAATAACAACAATAATATGAAGGAAGAGTGCTTTCCAACCAAGCACCTAGTGGATAACTGCAAGCGTATCATTGGAACCAGTTGCATAAAAAGTATTGCATACATTTGAGAGAGGGTAAACACCATGCAGACCATTTAAACTCCACCAGCAACGCACTTAACTATCTTGAAAGCATGGTGAGCATAAGTTTTGTAAGGTAACCCAGGTGGTTGAAAGTAACCCCCATAAAAAAATAATATGATATACAACCTGTAGATCTAGTAAGCATACACCTAGTGTGTAAGTTTTATGAGTTCATGACATGCCCATTTAAGCAGAATCCAGTGCATAACAGATTGGTTTGGGCTGATAGGCATCTACATGTACACATTAAAAGAGTACATTCTCAAATTCAAAAAAAAAGGCTAAGACTGACAAAAACCGATAAAAATCTCATTTAGCACAAAGTCCTCCAAGCTCATATATCCAAACTCACCCATAGCGGCCTCTAGATCAGGCCTAGCCCAGGGTTTCAAATAGGTTCTCTGTATTATTATTCACATGGCAATACACAAGGAAAGATGTGAAGTAACAAAACTTACTTGCAATAGAAACATGTCTCTGGGCATCATTGTGTCTTCAGTGCAATGGCCAACACCTTCCAACTTAATAACCTCCAGCAACTAATAGCCAACAAAAATACATCTATAATAAAGAACCATATTTTGAAAAGTAGAACTCAATTTACAAAAAAAAAGTCACAAAAATAATGAACCAATGATAAATAGGAAAATGAGTTCAAATTACTTGCCTCTTCGTGCTCAATGCTGTGGGCCAGTGGAAGTATAACTTGACCTCCGATGTTCGGAACTCGGGACCCTGGAAAGCTACAGGGACCAACTTTAACAGCAGCAGCTGAGTAAGCATCAATACTGTTATCTGCCCATTCTGACCTGTGCTCACGCAAGAACCTAAGAAGTATTGCTGGAGGCACATTCTAGAAGAAGCAAAAGTGCAGATCAGGAAAGAGACAGATGAACAAAAATTAAGCCATCAACAAAGTGTGGAGATAATACAAATAAGAAGGATAAAAACTCAAAAGCTTGCCTTAATTGACCAGGAACAACGATCATTTTAAATGTACTTCACTTTTGTAGCAGTTACCATCATTAATACATTAATAAACAAATGCAAAAAAAAAAAAAAAACATTTGCATAACCCATGCACCCCCAATCCAAGGATAACTTGGCTGCAAATAAATGCAAAGCAATACTAACTGTGCCAAAAATATATAATGATATGTGCAGACTATATGCAGAGTTTGAAACTACTGCAAATCCACATCAAATACCTAAAGTAAGATGAGGTGCCAAGTAAGTTGCCTAGAGGATGCAATGCATGAACTATTGATGGATCAAGGCCATCTATATGCTCTCTCACCGGATTAGTAACACATGGGCCAATATGGCCTCTTTCCAGCAGTCCATAGGTGTATTTGCCCGGCCGCAAGACTAAGTATTATGGGCATATCTTCAGTAGTGACCAAGAACAATATAAAGAAGATGGAAAGTTACAAGTAGTGCATTATCAGTTATTTAACAGCATAAGATAAACTGAATACAAACTACACCAAGCTGAGGATAGAATAACTGTTTGATCCCTTTGGAAAACTTAAACATATGTTAGATAAAACTCTAGATAGCCTAACTTTATCTTCTATGTAGCTTTGGCCAAGCCATGCTCAAGCCTGATCCTGAATCAAAGCATGGTAATTCAGTAGTCAGCTTCAACATTCATTTGTTCTGCCAGAATCTGATAAATCTAATTTTATCGATGCACTCCCAACTGCACGAGACTAAATCAGAGTGCCATTTCACTAAACAAGCATCATATAAGGCTCAATATTAAGTTGCATTTGCGCTCTTAATAAGCGGCGACAACCAGACAGCATTTCTTATTTCAAGATATCCCCTATTATGCTTACTTGCAGAAGCATTGATGCTTTCGCACATAGGACTGCATTGCTGACGGAAGTAAATCCATTTGCAAAGGAAAGATTCAGTCCCATCAGTTTCTCAGGGGAAGAGTTCACAAGTATAGTAACATCATCCATGCCATCATTTGCCATCATTGACCAGCCCTCATCAGTAAATCCATTAAGAGCCTCATTGAAACCCCTGCCAAAAGTATATGTTGGAATCTACCCAATGAAGTACCACAAAAACAATATATATATATAGAAAAATTGATATCAAACTAGTACACTATACAAACCTGCTCAACCTCTGGCTAAATGCTCGTAGAGTTGCTGGACGTCTGCCCCAGTTGGTGACATTTGAGTGGGAGACCTCCTGAGCTATCTGCCTTAATTGGCGTAGAGCCTGCATGAAACAAGGACATCTTTGAGCAATCCATAGTATTGACTCCTTTGTTTCTATTTACCCAAATGGATAAAAAAGTGGAAGGAATTCTTACTGTCATAGTTGTCTTTTGAGCAAGTACTGTCGAAGATTCATACAGTGGGCGCAACACTTCAGGCACACTCCATGCCTAGTCATTGATATGAAATGCCCACAATAACAGTAAATTATGGTATATGGCATATCTCAGATTAAATAGAGGAAGTAAATATCCAATACACAACCTAAGGCAACTGCCTTACCTCCAAATTCATATGATCAACAATGTGGATAATAGAGCCGCCCCCTTCACAAGGTCTAATAAGGTATCCACTAGGCAGCATTTCTGCTCTCACAAAATTCTGCACAGGTGGCATGCTTGGACCATTTTGGATATTGCTAAGTGATCTTTCACAGACCTGATCATGGAAACTAGATAAGTGGTTTTAAAGATAAGGAGAAACAGCTTAACAAATTACATATTTCATAACCTAAATAATCATATACCACTAGACTGCCATCCTCCATGACAGAAGTATAGCGTAGCAGCCAGAAGTCACGAGCCGGTGCCAAAGTTGTTGGCGCATACAGCTAAAGCATCAACAGATTTCTTAAGTCCTTTAAGCAATTATAAAAAAATATCAACGAATTGTAACAAATTCGTAAGACTAAATACCTACCTGCATGTACAGAAGTTCAATGGTTCCACCATTGGCAGTGGGCAGCACATTCAGCACATCCACGGCACGACAATCACGAAACCACGAAGGCCGATCCTTGAGGATTTCTACAACCTGTAAGAAACATAGCCATTCATAACCCCCCCACAACCACAGTAGCGGAAATGGATGAAACAAGAAGAAACCAAGAGAACTTACCCTTGTAGGCTCTAGACCCACGAGGCCACAGGCTCGTGCTGCCACACCTGTGCAACCATGAGAAATAGCAACGATTCCAATGGAATCCGGACCAGGCTACGGATAAGACAAAAAAAAGAAGACAAAAGAGTTTAACTTGGGTACCTATAATCAACTAACTGCCAATCAAAGTAGTTTTAACATAACCCAGCTAACATAGAAACTAGAGAAAAAAAATAAAATCTCCACATTTCAACATAGCATTAGGAAGCCTGGAAAAGATGACACGAAGGAGTGTCATGGATATTAATATTTAATATTGTATTATGCTAAGTCCGATAAGACCAGTTCTATTATTTTAACCTTCCATTATCTGATGACATTCTAAAATACAGACATTAGTAATCACGTATTGCATACATTTGCGTGTAAATATATATTATAAGTAACAGGGATACCTTCATTCCAGGCATTTGGACCCACTCAACAGCAGTTCCAGTGGCCTTTGAAAGAAACTCTGTTAAAGTCTCTTCTGCAATGGACAAAAGCCTGGAAAAAATACAAAAGCATACAAATTCCATAAGCCACGCACAAACACACATAACAAGGTATGTCACAAAGCACAATGACAAAGAAAAGGACCCAACAACCACAACCCCACTAACCCTGCAGGACTAGCATCTCTCGGCGGATGCTGAGGCGTCAAGTGGTGTTGACCGCTTGTCACCACTGACTCACAACTTGTGTCTTTGGTCGGAAGAGCCGTCTGCAATGGAAACAACTCTCTTATTTCTTAATAACCATACCTAATGAACTCAAATAATTAGATTTACATACAAAATCGAAATAACTTTGGACAATGATCCAAAGAGAGGAAAAAAAGACATGAAAAAATTCTTACATTCTGAGTATGCTGGCGAAAGTAGCCATTTTCATACACTAATTGTGACACCTGCTTCTGCAATCTATCATTCTCTTCCATTAGAAGCTTGTTCATAGCCGTCAGCTTCCTATTCACAGCTTGAAGGCGTGAAGCCTCTTTCCTCTGTTTCTCCCTGCATCTGTATACAAAGAGGCGCAGTGCACAAGACATTCTCAACATCATTAGTTACTATCAAGCAATATGAGCAAACAGCAAAGAGATTAATTTGTAGCCTCCTGATTTTTCATTAATCATAGCCCAAGAAAATTAAAACCCCCATTCAACTGAATCAAATATTACGAAAGACCCAATTTAACTGATCGAAAGACCAAAATTTTCACTATTTTCCCCTTCTCAGATTCACTTTTCTTGCCTGTTAAAGAAAGCGTTAGGGGTGTTAAACGCAAACCAAAAAAGTAACCATTGAAGACCAGGTGACTATACCGTCGGTTCTGAAACCAGACTTTGATTTGCTTGGGCTCGATATTGGAGAGGATAGGACATTCGCGAATGAGCTGTTGGCGGCGAATCGAACTGGGTTTGGGGCACTCATGATAGAGCCTCTCAAGGGCTTCAACCTGCTCAGGTGTGTAGCGGACATATTTGCCATTGTCCATCATCCCTCCCTTACCATCCTTGCAGGACATTGCCATCCTCACTTCACCCACTCAAAGGGACTTCTTTTGTGTTCGCAAAATAAAACTAGGATGCAACCGAGGTAGCTTATTTATTCCCTGCAATCCAAACTCTTGAGACCAGCACTAACCCCATCGATATCTCCAAACAGAATTAGTGCGTAACGAGAGTGAATGTCGCTAAATCCTCAGTATCTTGAATTCTTCAATGTTGTTAATAAAATAGATCATGAAATAGGAGGAATCGACAAAAGATAACCGAACCGAAACGAAGTTCCCTTTCCTTTTACTATCAATTTAAACAGGTTCAAACACTAGAGAATAATTAATAAATCTTTCGATTTCAGAGCTTCCAAACACCACCGAAGATCCAACTTTACTAAATCAATCCAAGCACGCACAATTTCTTTCTTGAAACACCAAACCGTCATTACATATCTGTCACGCGCGTTCCTATCCACAATACCGATTCCCGAGATTCGAAGCCTGTTCTTCTCTATCACTGACGCTATAAAAGCGACCGATTAGCAACGAAGTCCCGCAAGAACTACAGTACCGACACTGTTAGAACTTCGAAACATTTACCGCAGGATCGGAGCTTCCAAGTCTCACACTTCGGAAATCAAACCGAACGTCCACACCAAACACCGCCGATCTTCACCCTCCTCCTGAAGATTCCTTCTTCTGCTACTTCTCTCGAATCTTCCAAACATCTTCTAGGGTTTCACACGCAACATCCAGCAAAAACTCCTATACATATATCTACAAGCACATATATAAATATAAAGATATAGAGAGAGAGTAGTTGGTGTGAATGGGAGGTCATAGAGATGGTGATTCTCTGAGAGTGCGGATCTTGGTGAATAAATTGGAGAGAGAGAGAGCAATAAAAGCAACAGGAAAACCCTAAATTTCTGAGATGAAAGAAAAGTGAGTGGGTTTTTACTTGTGGATGGATTGGTTTGGTTCATAAGAAAGGTGATTGTTTTGTTGGCTCAATGGGATATATGCTGGCTGTGGCTTTTCATTGGTTCGTCACTTTCTGCTTTACTGTGCTCTGCAGCAACACTGGCATTGGAATATATTTTTGAATCCAACAGTGACATGACCAAACTGTCCATGGTTCTCTACCAGATAAAAAAAAAAATGCCCTAGAATTTCATCTAATTGGCAAAACTTGCAGATTTATACCCCCCAAAGCCCAAAATCAAATACCTCACCAACATTGACTTAAATATTGGAAGTAAAGGTGACACCACATTATTATTATTATATGGTATCATCATTTAATAATAAATTTATAAATGAATAATTTGAACTTCCACTTGATAGTTATTTTCTTACATGAACATACTATTTTTTAAATTAAATTATGTGTAGGTCTGTTAATCGTGTCGAATAAAACGGGTTCGTGTTGGGTCTAAAAGGATTAGTGTCAAAAAATATTTTACTTGTGCCCGATTTTTATATTAATTTGTGTCTAATGTGTCGTATCATATTGAGTTCGTGTCATATATTAATTATGTATAATTAATATATAAATAAATCGTATCATATATTTCTTTTAATTGAATTTCACTCGTACCTGATTCGTTTATTAATCGTGTTATGTTAGGTACACCTATTTACGAAATGAGTGATTTAAAGAAGACTCTAACTCTCTTACTTCGTGTCATGTTAACAAATTATATTATTTTTTACTACCCCCAATTATATATTTATTTGATATTCGCTAGTAACACCACTTATTAATAGTGACATGTTATCACTCGGTTACATTCAATATTTTTTCCAAACTCCACCACTGGTCCTCGTCGTGCTCTAGCCACTTCAGCTACAAGTCGCGGTCTACTTTGTCCTTGAATTGGGAAACACCATGACTCATGCATTAGAATGTTGTTTGCAATAATACAATTTTGGGTAAGTTTGTTTGGAATAATTTGGACAAGTTAATTCAACAATGATTCAAATCAAATAAAAATTTTATTCCATGCATAGATAGCTATTTTTCAATAACCAAATTGTCTTCGAGAAATCAATTGGGGGCCTAGCCTTGTGCATCACTGTTGATTATTTCAAGATTCTATCAATCAAAATANAATTTTTAAATAACCAAATTGTCTTCGAGAAATCAATTGGGGGGCCTAGCCTTGTGCATCACTGTTGATTATTTCAAGATTCTATCAATCAAAATAGTAAGTTGTCAATTTTTGTTATATAGATAGCTCTTGATTTTTTATGTTCCCCTCATTGAGTTGTATTATGTCATTTGCAAATTTCTCTTAACTCAGTTTTTATGTTTGTTTCTTTATTTGTTATGTATAAAGTGTTCGAAGTTACAGTAGTTAATTTTTCATTAAATCTATCAAGAAAGAAGGTTCACAGGACATTTGACGTTAACATTCTTCAATTTGAAAATATTATTCACAGTTTCGATNTTTCTCTTAACTCAGTTTTTATGTTTGTTTCTTTATTTGTTATGTATAAAGTGTTCGAAGTTACAGTAGTTAATTTTTCATTAACTCTATCAAGAAAGAAGGTCCACAGGACATTTGACGTTAACATTCTTCAATTTGAAAATATTATTCACAGTTTCGATAATAACGAGAATATGTTTAACGACGAAAACATACAAAAAAAATAAAACTTTCTTAGATTTAGGGCGATAAGGCACACCACTAATACAAGAAGAAGTAACCCTCACATTAATAGTAATGCATTGAGATATATCAGGAAAAAAATTGTCATGTAAAGAAAATCTCAATCCTTTTTAAGAATTCTCAAGTTGGAGTCTCAAAATTTTTGGGATCCAATGTAATAAACCCATCTAAATTTACTAAGTTGGCTTCTTCTTGTACTAAAAACCAAGTTGTGTATGCTAACTTTAGCCTAGGAAAGAGGAAATTTTGAAAGCATTTTATTTTTCTTACTTAAGTGAAAGCATGTTGGACTTGGGAGTTAAGGGGGTGAAGGTGCAATTCCACAAAAAGAAAGTGAGGAATGGGAAAGGTTTTGANCTTTAGCCTAGGAAAGAGGAAATTTTGAAAGCATTTTATTTTTCTTACTTAAGTGAAAGCATGTTAGACTTGGGAGTTAAGGGGGTGAAGGTGCAATTCCACAAAAAGAAAGTGAGGAATGGGAAAGGTTTTGAATTACTTAAACAGGAGGGGCAATACAGGAATACAAAGCGCGAATCAGAAGCTTCAAATAAAGACAGGAAAGGCGAAGGAAGGTTTTGCGTGGGTCATAGAGGACAGAATGATGAGGGCTTTGCATGCGCCTCGATTCTTCTAGCCTATTTATTACTACTTTTTTATTATCTCAATTTTTTACTTAGATATGTTGTTGATCTGTCAATCGTCTCCGATAAAAACAAGTTTATGTAGTGTTTTTGTAAATTCGTATTAAAAAATATTTTATTTATATAAAAATTATTTATTAATTTATGTCTAATAAATTATGTCATATTGAATTTGCATTATGTATAGTTAATATTTTTTTTTTCTTTCGATTCAATAGTCAGAAGTGTTCAAATTAGTTTAAGCGTACATCGATTAATTTCTTTTTCGCTCTAATCAAAAGCAGGTTATCCATGTCAAGACTAAAATATTCATTAAAGATAAATTTNCAAAAACAAGTTTATGTAGTGTTTTTGTAAATTCGTATTAAAAAATATTGTATTTATATAAAAATTATTTATTAATTTATGTTTAATAAATTATGTCATATTGAATTTGCATTATGTATAGTTAATATTTTTTTTTTCTTTCGATTCAATAGTCAGAAATGTTCAAATCAGTTTAAGCGCACATCGATTAATTTCCTTTTCGATCTAATCAAAAGCAGGTTATCCATGTCAAGACTAAAATATTCATTAAAGATAAATTTCTTATAACTTAATCCCAAAAAATTGCTAAAATTTAAATTCAAGATGACTGAATTTAGAATTCGTCTTTATTATCACTTGTATTATCTTTTAAAATTATATAATTAAATATATAAATAACCCGTATTGTGTATAATTTTTAATTAATTTTACATAAATTTTAATTTATTTATTAATTATGTTGTAGTTTGAGTTCATGTGGTGTTAATTTATCGTGCCTTTCGTGAAGAAGCTCACATCATCGTCATCATCACACTGCTATCATCCGTATGCCTACGGCATAACATACTCGCATACATGAGATGACAGAAGGTATATGACATGACATTGTGACAAGGGATAGTAGGTAGTGATATTTATTAATATATGTGGGGACATCTGACTGGTTGGCCGTTCAGTTGGTTGAGACCTAGCCGTACAATTTTTTTCACAAAAACGAATTTTAATTATTTTTCGAAATAAGATTATAATATTAAAAAAATATCAATACTAAAAAAATAGTTCATTCTCGTAATCTTTTTTAGCTTATTATTGAATAAAAAGTAATAAAATATAAAAATATAAAATATAAATTTTTTATACATATTATATTTTTATAAGATCAAAAAATATATATTTGTCAATACCTATTTTCAACTATTTTTATTTTATAATCGAGTATTACATGAATTTTTAATAAATTTTATTAATTTAATGGTATGGCATTAAAAAAAAATTGATACCATAGATAAACGCATTAAGGTATGATATTTTTCAACATCGTTGATAAGAGTGACAATCTTGTATTATGTACGCAGTCAGCATGCCTATTGTACTAAACATCATGTACGGTTACATGTCATGTGCATGCATTTACTGCGGGTGGGACTGTACAAATGTGGCATGGTACTACATACCATACGATTGACATACGGTTGTTAAGGCACACTGATTTTGGACAGTAAGGAGATCTCAGTGGGAGACACGACAGGCATGACCCGACAACGAAATCTGTGGGGCCCACAGTCACGATATGCCAAACAGACCTATTGCTGAGCTGGACAACGACGTGGCAAATGCTGTAAATCGTGGTTATCAAGATAAAGCTTTGTCATTTGAGTAATCGATAGACTTAAAAATTAGATTTATAAATTAGATTTAATAATTTTTATCATTAAATAGGTAATGGATTCTAGTAAATATTGGGACCTACACTGAAATTAATGGTTAAAATTATTAAATTTAATTTTTAAGTGTATTTTTTAAGTTTATGTATCATTGTTCTTATCC